CTGGTGTGGAGCTCACTTCTGTCGCGTTGATGCAGTGATGCTGCCGAATGCTGGGGCGAGGTGATGCGCTCGCTCGACATGACGCTGCAACAGGATGGCGCCTCAGTTGTGCAACGTTATTTTGGCATTCGCTACAAGGAGACGATGCGCAACACCGAAGCCCCCGATGAGGCCGTCGCTTCATCTACCTCTCGCCAACTGCAACTCTCGTGCCATATTGACAAGGACGTTACTTACATGATGGCCGGCCTTGAGCGTGCCCTCAAGGAAGAAATCACCAAGCACAGCGATACCCTTGGTCCGTTTGATGCCTCATTGGTCCCGTCCTCACGCTGCTGCTGCTCGCTGGCCTTTTTTTCTGCCTATCTTTTCTTGCTTTCTCTTGCGATATCAAGGTCGGCTGGACTGCGCTTGAGTCCTGATCCACTTGCAATGGTGCTTTTTGAATGTAGGTCGCGATGCTGTTTACGAAAAGTCAGCTCAGATTGACCGCCTTCCTGAGTTTCTAACCGTCAACTTTGTTCGGTGAGTATCCCTCGTGGGCATGCTTCTGGTAATTGTCCTCACTGTGCACCACGTCAAGCGCCTTTCGCACTGTCTCATGCACATCGTTGTCTGAACGACGCAATACTCATGCTGCAGCTTCTACTTCAAGCGCTCAGCGGGCGAGAACTGCAAGATCCGCAAAGAGGTCAAGTTCCCGCTGGTTTTTGACGCCTTCCAGCTGTGCTCGGCTGAGCTCAAGGAAAAGCTGGCACCTGCCCGGGCCCATTTCGATGAGCTTCGCGACTGGGAAGCAGAACAAGCCGCCGCCGCTGCCGGCAAGCGCAACAAGTCGGAAACCGTGTCTGACGACTCCGACGATACCTGGCCCACCAGCTTCGAGGATGGTACGCATATATCGGCTCGGAAGCCAACACAGCAAAGTTTGAATGGAAGCGTCGAGAGAAGAGATGCTCGCTTTTTCGATGTTTTTTTTTTTTTAATTTTTTTTTTTATTCCAACTCAATGAAACGAATCACCCCTTTTGGTGCTTGACAACTCTATTCCGTGCATCCCGTAGATCCTGGCAGCAACAACTCGGCATACTATGAGCTCAAGGCTGTCCTGACGCACAAGGGCCGCTCTTCAAACTCGGGCCATTACGTGGCGTGGGTCAAGCAAGATGACGGTCAGTGCCCAGAGTTGCTTCTTTCGATCCTTGCTGGCATTCATCCGTCTTGATTTTACCAAGCAAGCGAAGTTAGTTGTGTCCTTGCCGTACAATGACCGTCCTTTTTGCCTGGCGCACAAATAGGCTCTTGGCTTCTCTTTGACGACGATAAGGTCTCAGTCAAAAAGCCCGAGGACATTCTGGCGCTCTCCGGCAGTGGCGGAGGTTCGTTTTTGGAACTCAATTTCAATCGCCAGGCGTGTGAACTACCAGGCAACTCATGGTTTGCTCTTTGTGGTTTTCATTTCATTTTGACCATTGTTTAGCTGATTGGCATACCGCGTACATGATGTTGTACGCGGCACAGCCTTGCCGCAAAGTGCCTCCAAAGGCGGCCAAGAGCGATTCGATGGATCAAACCTCCGACAACTAATTGACCTTCCCACACGCGTGATCACATGAGAAACCAGCACGCTGCAGCCGCCTTCTCCTTTACCGCCCGCACCAACGCCATCATCGTTGCATGGCGCTTCAATTAAACGGAACAAATCTCACCCTGTGCTGCATGTGATTCATACCCACCTCACGAATCGTGCGCGTTGACCTCAGACAGCATCGCGTACCCTTTCCGCCCCATAATGGCGTGCCAAGGTGCTGATGAGGCCATCTTCAAAAACATCAAACACCATCTATTTGAACCGCGCAGGCGTTTGCGGGTGATCGATGATTTCGGCGAGCAACCATGCAGCGGCTCCATCACGGGCTTCACATAAATTCTCTTATTAGTGATGTTCACCATGACGTACTTGGCACCAATGCGTGCAATCCAAGGCATGGCCATTGCTTGGCTGTCGCGTTTCGCTGTCACAGCGCCACAAAGCTTGTGAGACGAGAATGGTCTGAAAACCACAACGGGGTTGCAGTCCATGGTGACGAACATGTGGGCATCATAACGGTTCCATAGATAGGGGACAGTAGCTTGCACGAGCAATTTGTACTCTTTGGCCACAGCGTACAGCACTGTGTTTAGCTGGCTGTTGTGCATTCCCAGCGCCCCCACGGCTTTGAGATTCCTAAGAAAAGCCCACAGACAAAACAAGCAACGCAAACAGTTGGGACCAAGTCGAGTCTTACACTTCGCGCATGCTGCGGACACAGCAGGGGTCGCAGCCAGCAAGCCAATATTGTGGGCTGCATCATACCAGGGGGCACAGTGATTGATTGCTGGGTCACGATTATGGTAGTCACCCAAGTCGCCGTGGCTGCTGCGCCCCTGAAAATGCTGGGGCGTAATGTCACGCCACATGGCGAAGGATCCTACGCACTCGACTCACGTGAAAATTTGCACCCAGACTCGCCACTTGATGGACTTGAGGAAGGCAGCTGGACCAACGTGGCTTGGTATTGAAGCGTGACATGTGTTCGGAAAAGAAACGTATATCCCGTTCAAAGGCATCCGAGTGCGCATTTGAGTAGTGCAGCCCCATGTTGACCACCTGCCGCAATCCCGATCAAAGCATCGCAACATTGGGCACCAGACTGAACTATGAATCACGACGCAAAATCCATTACATCAGATGAAACAAACCACAATATGTTCTTTCGTAAACCCTTGCAGCGGCATGGCTTGTGTGGCAATGTCTTCTGCGCGAGCGGCCTGTGTTGTCGTTTGTCCGTCGCGATGAGCAAACAGCACATAGCGAACGCGTCTTTGGGGGTAGCCTCGTGCTTGATGTGCAAAGAAAAACTTTGTAAAAAGGAATAAAAGAAAAAAACCAGAGCGATGCCAAAGTGGGAGGAAGAGCAGCAGGTCATTTAAAAAAAAAAAAAAAAAGGAAGGTGCATACCCGGTCGGTGCGAAAGAGCAGCAAGTCAAAAGCCAGCTGTTCAAAGCCTAGATCGCTCACAGCAACGATGAGCACAAATGCGATGGTGCATCAATGTTGCTGCTGTCCTTACCACGGCGTGAAGTATAGATATGACTGGCTGCAGCGCAGGCCGCGGGCATTTCATGCTCTGCAAATTGGACCGCCACTGTCGACCACGACGAATCAGCTCGATGTGAAGCAGACTGGGCCAAGCGGCTAGCAGGCCAGGGGTGAACGAACCGAACTTTTCGCGCACAGCGCGCTGGCGAATTGCGTCATAAATCTGCGATGAGATTGAATCGCCAACAAAGGCAATGCTGCCACCATGAAGAACATATTCAAGTTTGTATGCGCGAAATGCAAACCGGCTCTCAAAGATCATGTGCCTGAGGCGATATAAAGTTGCGACAATGAGAAAGAGCTTACGGATTGGGACAGCTCCCAGGAGATGTGTGCTACAAGGACATGTACCGAATGGGTGTAGTGAAGTTTGGAAAGTAGACGGGGTTGCAACACTGGGGCTTGCGACCGTAGTCGACTTCCCGGCACCCGCGGCGCCGTAGCATGGTGAGCCTAGGCGGTGCAGCGGGTTGAGCACGGAACGAAAGGCAGCGAGACAAACACACGGGTAGCCCTGCATGCGCCATCTTGAAATGAAGCAAGATTGATGGCCATATGCCACTTGGGATGGGATGGAGTAGACGCACCATTCAGCTTGCGACGCGTTGCGCCAGCGTCCTGCCAGATGGTCGTCGCTGACCTCGGCATTGAGGTGTTGTAGGGATTGCGCGGCCATCATGAGGTCTTGGCGTTGATGATGGGCTTCTCGCTGTGCTCGCTTGTGCTCCTCAGCTAAAGGTGGGGTGATGGGTGGGGTTGAGGGGCCGAAAACGACGACTGCCTTCTGCCACACTTTCACCAAGGTTTGCATGCACGCAGGCACACCCGTAGCCATCGCCGGGCGCTTACCCGCACTCAGATCGGCGTAGCGGCGAGCCAGCAGCGACGAGTCGTGGCTCTACCATCGGACAATCAGACTTGTGAAAAGCGGTGGCTGCCAGTTTGATGGACCAGTCGGGACAGCACGCTTTCGACACCTGACACGCTTACCCTATTGTGAAAGTGCAAAGGGATATGTCAGTGCCAGTCGGGTGACACGCGGGTGGACACGCACGGCACGGCTCGGCTTACTTGTGGAGTTGAGGATTAGCAAGAGCAGCATCGGAGCCCACAATAGGCGCCCCAGGCCCATGAGAACCTGCTCAGAGAATGCAAAGCACCTGTCAAGGAGGGCTTCTCCGCACATGGTGTGCCCTCAGGGGTATGGTTTCGCTTATCGAGGGCGTACCATGGAGGAGCAGAAGCTCAGCCAATAGAACCAAAACTGTACCCGCTAGCACACCGACCAGGACATAGACACCTGCTGACCATGTGGTGGCCATGGCACTGCAGCCCACAGGAACGATGGACGAGACGATGGCCCCATTCGAGCCTGAGCTCTGTGCCGTCCAACAAAATTAAAATCAGATTTGGTTGTTTGTTCTCTCTCTCTCTCTCTCTCTCTTGATGACTTTTATTTTTCTTCTCTCTTTGCTGTCTCTGTCTGTCTCTGTCTCTAGCTCTCCAACGTCATGTGTCTCGCTTGTGCGTACCGTGCATCTAGGAAAATAGGTTTGCTGGCGTCATGATTGTGGGCAGGGGCGTTCAACAAAACGGAGCTGCACGAGTGTCAGCCAAACTACATGCCAAAGAAAATATACATGAAAACTAGAACGATGAAGCTAGTTGCTGCGACTGGGCCGTATTTTTGCAGCATGGCCTTCCATTTGAGCTGCTTGGCGTCCTGTGAGAGGTCAGTCGGCCATGAGTTTGCGACAAGCACGACACACCAAACACTTTGGAAACGTGCAGGCGTACAACGGGAGTACCTTCAAGTATTTGGACGACTGATCCCGCAGCAAGCTCGCGCGGTCTGACAAGGCTGATGGGTTGGCCATAGCAACGAGGCATGGTTAAGACGTGTGTAGGGAAATGTTTGAGCCGTGATGAAGCACGAGCCGGGCAGGACCCAAGCCAAACTAACAGTTGAGTTGTTCCCCGCGCTCAAAGACTTCGTCGATGTTCTTGACCATAATCCTTTGAACATCCATGAGCTCGGCGTTGATCTTGTCCAGACGGTTGGTTGCACGTGAGTCCTCGTATGCTCGCTTCAGCTTCTGCATGCGTCCATCTTTACAGCATTGATGGCACGGAGTGTGTGGGAGTGTGAGAGCCATCTTCAGGGTGGCAGAATTCAGCAGCAGAATGAGGAGCATGGGCCTGGCCACGAACCAAATTCGATAAAGGCATATGGTCGTGCAGCCGTATCAATGCGGTTGCCGTACATTTCCTGCGGGGATGCAGACAAGCAGGGGATGGCAAACGAAGGGAATGTGCAAAGGCAGAGAAAGGGGTGAGCGGTGGGGCAAGCGGCTTCGGGTGATGGAAAGCCAAAGGGTGGAGCCACTGACAGAGAATTCGCGCTGTAGCTCTTCCAAATACCCAAAGGCCAGCTTTTTGGAAAAGGTCTTGTCACAGAGTACCAGATAGCAAACACCGGCCTCGATCGTGTAGCTGACAGAGCCAGGCAGACGATGATTGTGGAAGGTGAGCGTAGATCGGAAAACAAGCGGGGGCGGGGGGGGGGGGGGGGGGGGGGGGGGGGC